TTTTTTTTTAATTGTCTGGAAATGTAGTATTTGTGTTCATGTCAAATCTAACCCATTAGATTGCAAATTCCTTCAGGAGAATGTGCATAGTACAGGTGTTCCATAAATACTTTCCGAATGAATGAAAGAGTGGGTGAGTGAATGAATGGACTAAATGACACTGTTAATAATAATGATAATGATAATGATAAATTAAACAATATAGTTAAGCTTAATGAATTAAGGAAAACATTATGCAAAACCATCTTTAGCAAAATTCCAATTATCCATGCTAATTGAAAGAAGCAGGGGCAGTAGTGGTGCACATCAACAGAGAATATGGAATCTATTTCTCTTTGGCTTTGGAACATATATTTTTTATACTTACATTGAAATATAAGTTTATCTGGTATTACAGGAATGCACAGAGAATGAAAGTGCTCTGTGAGGACCTAACTAAAAGAAGAGCCAAAAATCTCACCAGCTTCCCTTTGTCACGACTACTCTGTGCTCATCCCACCTTCACCACCAGTCCTTACTGGGGATGGACAAGGCCCACCATGATGCAGAACAAGAGGTAAAGCTGGGCTGCTTTCATTCTCTAGGCTCAACATTGTTCAGAATCATGCCTTCCATGAGTAAAAGTAGAGAAGGTGACTAGACTTGTTGGTAAAAAGGCCCTCCTTTTCATATTTTACAGATGCTGGAGGCAAGAAATGATAAGAGTAAACAAAAAGGTCATGGTGTCGACTTGCTATACCAAGAAGCTGAAAGCAAAGTTGAGCCGGATAAGCCAGAGTGAGGCTGATTTGCCTTCAAGTAACGAGCCTTTATCTACTTTCATCCCCTACAATTATTCATTCATTCAACAACTGGTTCTTGAATCTGTAGTGCCAGGGCTCAGGCATGGGCTCTGGAGTCAGAATTTCGAGGTTCATCACCCAGTTCCAGGACTCTTAGAAGCTGTGATTCAGTTTCTTCCACCAGAAAAAGGGAAGATGAAATGAGGTGACCCATACAAAGCACGAAGAGTACTGCCAGCACATAGTAAGTATTCAATACAGGTGGCTACTATTTTTTTTTTTTTTTTTTTTTTTTTTCTTTTTCCGTGTCC